AGCCTGCGCCGCCGCCGCTCGCGCCTCAGCAGCAGCAGCAACTGGCGGCCCTATCTTCGCAGCTGCAGCACTTGACGCCGCTGGCCCAGACGGGCGGCGGCCCGCTGCAGATGGGGCAGCCGCCGCCGCCTCTTGGGCGCAAGCCGACTCCTCGGCCGTCGGATCAGGGGCCGGCGCAGGCGCCAGAGCCCCAACAGCAGCTGCAGCCGCAGTTGCAGGGCGGCAACGCGCCGGTCGACCCCCGCCGTGCCGGCCGGCGCTCCAGCACGCCCCCATCTGCGGACACTCAGCGCGCAGCCATGGCGGTCGACCCCCCGGGCAGCTACGGCGGCGCCGCCGCCCCCGCCGCCGCCGCCGCGGCTGCGCCCCTGCAGGCCGCGCCCGCGCTGCCAGGCCTGCAGCAACGGCCGCAACAGGGCCCGCAGCAACCGCCGGCGACGCTGGTAGCACCCCCACAGCAGCAGCAGCAGCAGCAGCAGCAGCAGCAGCAGCAGCAGCAGCAGCAGCAGCAGCAGCAGCAGCAGCAGCAGCTGTCTGCTGACCCCGCGCTCCGCGAGGCCGCGGCGCGCGACCTGCTGCTCTCCCGCATGACGCCAGAGGAGCGCGCCACGGCCCCGCCCTCCGACGTCACCCTCGCCCTCCGCGGCCTGCTGCGGACGCTGCACGTGACGGGGGCCGACGCCGCGGCGCAGATGGCCCAGCTGCAGCAGGAGCTCACGAAGGTGCAGTTCCTGGTGCTGTTTGCGCTGGCGCGGGTGTACGCGCAGGACGAGGAGGTCCGGCGCGCGGTCAACGCATGCTATGAGGCCGCGCAGGGTGGCCCTCCGGAGCAGCAGCAGCAGCAGCAGCAGCAGCAGCAGCAGCAGCAGCAGCAGCAGGGGCAGCAGCAGCAGCAGGCGCCGCCTGTTGTCAACGAGGTGCGGCTCGTGAAGACCGGCAGCGGGCACCTGCGGCCCAAGGCGGCCGCCGCGGTCCCCCCACCCGTGTCGTCGCAGCAACAGGAGCAGCAGCAGGTGGTAGACGCGCAGCCGCAGCCGCCGCAGCAGCATCAGCAGAAGCAGGGCCCGCCGCCGCTGCGGGACGAGGCCAAGTTCTGCACGCCGCACGACAGGGCGCGCGTCCCCGCGTTGCTGGAGTACTACGGCCACCAGGAGGCGACGGCGCTGCTGAACGACTTCAACCAGCGCATAAGGAAGCAGGGTGGCGACGCCGCGCAGCTGCTGGTGTTTAGCGAGCGTACCGAGGGGCCGTGGAATGAGTACGTGGTCGCGCAGGGCGGCCGCGTGCTGGGCCGCGCGGTCGACACGCCGAAGCACGCGGCCAAGCGCAGCGCGTGCGGCGCGGCGCTGGTCGCGCTGCACGACGCGGGGGTCGACCTGCCGCGGTCGAAGAGCGCGCTCAAGGGGCCGCCGCTGCCCATGCCGCCGCGCGGCGGGAGCGGTGGCGGGGGCGGCGGCGGCGGGAGCGGCGGCGGCGGGAACGGCGGCGGCGCGGCGGCTGGCGGCGGCGCGCAGGCGTCACAACTCCGGCCGCCGCCGCCGCAGCAGCAGCAGCACGAGGCGGCGGCGGCGGTGCGGCACCTGCCGCCCGTGGAGCGCCTGGCGGTGCAGCTGCCCGCGCAGATCCAGCACCTCCCTGCTGGCCAAGGGCCCTCAGCACCCGTCCAGCCGGGGCAGCCCCGGCCCAACATAGCTCCGCCGCGGCCCCAGCCGCAGGCGAAGCGCGGCGCAGCCGGCGGCGGCCCGGCTCCGCAGCAGCCGGGGCCGAAGCCGGCGCAGCCGCGGCCAAAACGGAGGTGGGAGGACGCCCGTGCGCAGGACGCCCCCGTCGACACGAGCCTTGCCAAGCGGGCCCGGCCGCCCAGCGCTCAGCCGCAGCAGCCGCCGCCCGGACACGCTCAAGCTGGCAGCCTGCTGCAGGCGCACCTTCAGCCCCCGCAGAAGCACGGCCAAAGTGACGCCCAGCGGCTCGCCCCGCCGGGGCAGCAGCAGCAGCAGCAGCCGCAGCACCTGCAGCACCCGCAGCCGGGCCAGCACCGGCAGGTCCAACAGCTGCAGCAGCAGCAGCGGCAGCAGCAGCAGCCGCCTGGTGCGTCCGTCCACCTGCAGGCCAGGCAGGCGCCGCCCGCGGCACCGCCGCCGGCTCAGCAGGTGCAGCAGGTGCTGCGCATTGGGCTCAACGGCGTGCACGGCGCGCCCAACGGCGTGCACGGGGCGCCCAACGGCGCGGCGGGAGCCCATGGGTTTGGCCTGCGCGCGTCGAGCATCCCAGTGGTCAGCGGTGCGTTCTACAGCGGCGGCCAGATCCCCCTCCTGAGCCACGCGCCCATCGGCGCGCCCGCGCCGCGCCCCGGCGTCCCCGGCCCGCGCCCGCCGCCGGGCGGGCCGCGCCCGCCCCCGGGCGCGCCGCCTCCTCAGCAGCAGCGCGTGCACGCGCACCACTCGCACCTGCCCACGGGGCTCCTGGCGCAGCAGCAGCTGCAGCCGCAGCCCGTTGTGCTGCAGCTTGCTCAGGGGGTGCCCAGCCAGCAGCAGGTGGCGGCGCAGCAGGCGGCCAACAGGCAGCGGCTCGCCATGATGCAGCAGCAGCTCAACTTGCAGGGGGGCAGGCGCTAGGTCGCTGCCACGAGGCTGCCGGCCGCGGCGCAAAGTGTGGTGAGGGCGTCGCAGGCGCGCCGGACGAGCGAGGGCAGGGCGGGGTCTGGGGCAATGGGCCATGAACAGCTGGCTGGGCAGGCGTGCGCCTCGCGTCGTCGGCCGTTGCTGCGTGAGGTTATTTTTTCACGGTTTCGGTAGCTTGTCTATCGGCAGCAATGCTTTTGTGGTATGCTGATTATCGGCGTCTCGTCTGCACTTGTCGAGTGTTGCGTCATGATTCTCACAACCGCTCCCACTTGACAGGGGCCTGTCTTGGATTGCTGCACCTCGGCATGAACCCCCACTGGCCGCCGCAATCCTCTGAGATGAGGAGGGCGTTCTTTCTTATCTCTTGTTTTTGTCTCTTGTTTTTTGGCAGTGTAAAGTGGTGCCTGTGTGAGATGCACTCCTAGAGGGTGGTAGCTGCATCAGGGGTGCACGGGAGAAACGGGTTGGCTGTTTAGGGGCTGGTCCCGCCCGGTGATACAGCGGTCGATGCCAGATTGAGCACATGTCAATGGCCTCCGTCCACGCGGTGCAGTTCACCATGCCGTTGCATTACATGAGAAGCTGCCGGGGATACAAGTGTATGCCATCTGGTGTGTGTCTCCATCGTCGCCGCATCGCGAAAGCATGCTTTACACAATGAGGGAGGCCATCCCCCAAGCAAGCGGGCACAGACGAAGTGTGCGCCGCAGCTCCCCGTGGTAAAGGAAGCGCCAACGCTTGGAGGGGCAATCTACAGGAGGCCCCTCAGGGGAGCAGCAGGCCCCCACGCACACCCAAAGGTGCAGTGACGCGTGGTGCGAGGCGAACGCACGGAGGGCGTTTGGTGCGTGATGGTGATGTACACTTTGATTGAGCTGTGCTAGGATGGAAGCTGCTGCCCAGCTGCGACAAGGGCTGCGGCGCGGGAGCGGCTGCTGCCTGGAGGGCAGCCAGGAGAGCCGCCGCTCGTCGCTCGCGTCGACAAGGGGCCGGCCGGCATCCCTGCAGAAAAGCCGAACCAGTAGTAAAGAGACCATACCCAAAATCAAATAAACAGCAAGAAATCAAATGGGGCGCTGACAGCACCCAGGTCCCCTCCCCGCCGGCCCTCGCAGCCGGGGCACGAGCACGGCCCGGGGAGGCCTCAGCTGCGTCCTGCCGCCGGGCCCCTCACAGCGCCATCTCCGCCTGCAGCGCCTCAAGCTCCTCCTCCTCCCGGGTCTTCGCCTTGGCCTTGACAGCGCCGGTGGGCGCGCTGGGCAGGGCCGCGGCGGCGGCGGCGGCGGGCACCTTGGTGGCGGGCACGGCGGCGGGTTCCAACAGCTGGCTGTCCAGCTCCTCCTGGTGGGGTGGGTGGGTCGCGATGGGGTGTGAGCAAGGTTTCATACTGGTGCATGGTGTGTGTGCGTGTGTGCTGTGTGTGTGTGTGTATATGCGCGCGCTCCGGAGCAGTTGTGTGTACGCGTTCTGAGTGTGCAGTTGTATGCGTGAGGAATTGTTGAGTGCGTAAACAGAGTGGACTGGGGCCCGCAGTAATAACGGAAGCCGTGCTAGCAGCACGCAGCTGCACACGGCTCTTGGACCACAACACACAAGCAGCAGCGAGCGTATCATTGGTGGGCACGCCCGACGACACCTCAGGCTCCGCTCCGCCTGGCACTCGCGCCGCGCCCGGCCACCCGGGCGCCGCACACCACGCACCCCAGCCACAAGCAATCAATGGTGTGCCAAAGCACGATTTCAAGACACCGCAAGCAGCGTGTCCACAGCGAAAAGGCTCACACAGCGCACACAGCACACGCGGCGCCCCCCTCCCCAGCCCACCTGCTCCAGCTCTGCCAGCTCCCCCAGCAGATCGTCCTCGTCCATGTCCTGAAACAGCCCCACAGGCTGGAGGGGATGAAGCGGGTTGTTTCGGCAAGGAGTTGGCAAAGACAGGAGGGAACCGGCTGCAGAGTGGAATGCGCATGCGGAACAAGGTGGCGCGTGCGGAGGGGCGCCTGGCAAGCAATCGTACAGGCTACGCGTGGTGGCGAAGCAATGCGCCGGCCTGGGCGCCGGCGTGCAAGCTGCGCTACACGCAAAGTCCATCGACTGGCATCCCCTCACGCTTCCCAGTCCATGCGCCGGCCCGCGGCTGCCGTCCTTGTGCCATCCCTGCCTGGCCGCGCCGGCTGAAAGCGCCTCAGGCGGCAGCTCCACAGCCCGCCCCGGGCCCCGCACCTGCGCCACTGCCTCGTTGATGGCCCTCATCTGCTCCCCGACCTCCTGGATCTCCTCCAGGGTATTGTCGATCTTGTCGATCTTCATCTCCTGTTGTGAAATCAAGAGTTGCATCGACGCAAGGCGAGCGGTGAGGCAAGGGAAAGGGCAGGCAGAAGCCTGAGGATGGGAGCGAACCTGAGCCCACTGCAACAAGGCACCGAGCCCGGCACGTGTGAGCTTGTGGTGGCCTCGCCGACCGCCGCTGCCGCCTCTGGTGAATGCAAGGAGAGGCCAGGTGCACGCGGTCCCGCCCGCCAACCGCACCGCCATGGTCTTCTTCTGCGCCTTGGTGGCCGCCGCCATGTCGCTCAGCACGCCCAGCGTGGTCTGCTGCTCCTCCAGCATGTGCTTCTGCTCCAGCAATCTGCGGCCGCACGGGGCAACGCACGCGCTTATGCGTCGCCGGACCTCTTCAACAGCACAAGCGCTGCTTGCGCCCTGTGCAACGGCGCCTGCCGCCCGAGCCGCCTGCTGCCGAGGAGGCGCGCGCGGCAAGCCAGCAGCGCTGCAG